TAAATGAAGGGCAATATTGTCCATTTGATTGTTGTTTTTAGTTTTAATGATTTAAGGTTATAAAAAAGGAATATAAATCAATAAAAATTAATAAAAAATAGATTTTGGTATATATGATATTATAAAACATTAAGAAGGACAAATACGATATTTAGAGTTTAGGCTGGGTAAATACGATATTTAGTTGTTTAGCAAGGACATATACGAAATTCCCCCTTACAAAAATATCAATTTACTCCACCTCTAAGTAAGTATAATCCAAAGACAATATTATCATACTTAAATTTTCATAACAAACACCTATCCTTATAAGTTACAACACCCTCGCAATCCATCTATTTAAAAACTAAGCTACCTATATGGAAATCAATACATCATCCTATTCACATGTAACTACAACACACTTTAACACCTTTCTATGTACAGATAATAATCAAAACAAACAAATCACACTCTTTCAAAAATTTCAAGAATATGATTTAATCAACCCGAAATTATAAAGATTTCTTCTTAATAAACTCCCAAGAGACACCAAAACTGCCCCACCAAGACTAGTATTTTGTTCTTGAATTTCTATTTTTTGATGGGATGGTTCTTTTACTCTTAAATTAACCATCCCGATCCGTTGTCGAACCGAGTCAATTACTTCTGAGTCGACTCGGTTCCCGATTGCGTCTGTTACGTAAAACATGTTTAAAGCAGTTCCCATTGTCGTTGATATTTCCGCTCGAATTATATATAACGCGTTTTCTCTAAATATCCGCATTACTTCCGCTAATAATCCCGGTTTATCTGCCTTTCGTAGCTCAAGCCTTACACCCTGAAATATCATACGGTTAGTTTCAATCAGGAACAAACAAAACAACACAGTCTTTATACTTTATACTGTGTTTGACATGACTAAGATTTATGCTGATGGGACAAAAGTTGTAGTATTCTGTCTACTCAAAAAGGTGGTCAATAGGACAAAAGCTTTCTGTCCTACCCAAAAAGATGGGAGAAGGTGCGTCCTTTCTTGTAAAAAGACATGAATGTCTTTATTATCTTATCATTGAAAATAATAATAAAAAATTTGTCTAGTACAGTCCAATCCAATCCTGTCTGATGTAGAATGGTACCTCAGATGCTCTTCTTTCGATGGCGGCTGACAAGCATAAAATTACGCGTTCCTTTTCGGCTTCCGAACTAATTGGGGTTCCATCCATGTGTTTTATGAAAAATTCCTAAAATACAATTTGAGCAATTTTAAACAAAAGAAATATCGAATCGGATTTTTTTTTTTTTTTTTACTTTTTCAAAAATCATTTATCCAGACAGCACTTTATCAAACAGAGTAAAAATAAGTACCAAATGAGCTCCTTTTTCAGTAGTGTTGATGGTGGCATGAAATACAACATATTTCATATCCGTCAAAGTGCAAACAACATCAAACAAAAGCTTGGGTCGATCTTTTGATTGAATATTCAAAACCGAATAACCTTTATCCAAACAACTTTGAACAGAAACCAAAGGCGAATTCTCCATTTTCAAATCCGATTTTCTCGCATAATCTCTATCTGCAAACATCATTTGGTGAAGTCTTCTCTCTGTGTGAGTAATGGCCATTGAAACCGAAGTTTTTGCAGTTCTAATATCATTGTCACCTTTAAGAACGTTCCTTAATCGACCCTTAATTGTGTCTATTTTGTTTGAATCCTCAATTTGGTACCCTGAATCAATGTCTTTTAGGTAAATGAGAGATGCGATTCTTCCATTGTGGGTCCACACTTTTGATTCCACCACATCACATTTAAGATCGGATAAAACTGCAAAAACTTCTGATAGAAGACCAACTCTGTCTGTTCCTGTTAACTCTAGTACAGTCATTCCATCAATGGGTTTTGATCTTGTGTTGTGAATCGTTTCAAGAGACTGTTACATGTTACATGACAAAAAGTTAAAAAGTTAAAAAGTCAAAAATGCCCTTTTACTTAAGTTCTTAAAATATTAACTTTACCTGTTCAATGCAATTGATGATGTTGTCGTCTGTTAATTTGTTTCCATCCAAATCAGTCACATGGAAGACTACAGAAAGTAAGATTCAAGATCTTGCATCAGTGAAAAGTTAAAAAATCATTGATTTGTAGACATGATTATTAAGGGGTTAATCAAAAGGTGGAGTTTGTAAAACTTTAAGCAAAAAGGAAGGAATCTATGAAGAAGAAGAAAGTTAAAGTTAAGTTAGTTAACTCACCATCCATGTTCCACCTTCCATCTGAAGAAACGTAACCTTTTTTAATAGAAAGGTTAAGATCTGTGAGAACTTGAACTGCTTCAAGCAAGATTTCATCTTTCCTTGCACTATCAATCTGAAATTTGGAGATATTTTTGGATTGATTTCAGTTTAAATTTGGAATTGAAAACATGTTTTAATGGGTGAATGAGTTAGTCAATTTATGATGAAGATTACCATGACGCGAGTTGCGTTTAGACAGCTAGCATTGTCGGTTAATACCCTGAGATTGAGGGAAAGAGAAGTAAGCAAAAAGTCATACTTTCGACAGGAATCGGAAATTAGGCAGAAAAACAGGAAAAAGAAGTCGTAGACAAGTCAAAATTGGATTCTGGAAGGAAGAACAGACCTAATTTAGCGAAGAAATTAGTCAAAAAAAGTTGAGAAATTCCAGATTATTCCATCTCAAATTAGTAACAAATTTTCTAATCAATCAGAGCAGAGAATTGCAAGTGATTACGAAATGAAATGAAAATCAAGAACTACAGAACTTAAACCTTTTTGGTGATTAGAAACACTTAATTCAATCAAAATTAACAGCTACTGCGATGATCAACATACAGGTGAAAAAAAAAAAAAAAAAAAAAAAAAAAAAAAAAAACTTGCGATCACCGTTGAAGTTACGTCCAAAACCCTAAATAAACCAGAAACAGAAACTAACCTTGGAGTGTTCATTCGAACGAGAAGCTTTTCATACTCATCTAAACACTGTCTCCGATCCATCTGCATCATTTTCTCTTTCTTATTCTTTTTTTCTTCGTCGTCGTCTTCTATATACAAAAAATAACAGAGAAAGTTCTTATAACAACTCCTGATTTGAACTATTTTTAGTAGTATAGACGATTTCAACGAACAAATATGGCCCAAAATAGAAGGATTTCTGCACTAAACAGACTATATCGCCATGAAAGATGGAGTTCTCTTTCTGTATCTCTCTCTCTTTCTCTAAAAATACAAAAGCACTGAAGCACGCTTTTCGGTATATTGCCGCCTACTACTATATTTATTTGTGGAAAAAATGAAGTTTGTGGAAAATATTAAAAAAATAAAAAACATTAAGCCCAAACGGTGTGGAAAATGACTCATTTTTTGCTACTGTTATTTTATTTCTTGTCAATGGAGAATGGGTATGGTTTGTCATACAATTTTTTAATTAAATTTACATAAACAAAACTAAAAATTCTATTAATTGAAATAAGAAATACATAACATAAACTAAAAACTTAGTGCCAAAATTAAAAGCTTAAAAAACATACTAAATTATTAACTAATAATTTAGAGGAGGTCTTTGTACAAAATTGGTCTTCCAAATCATCTCTAAGTTCCACATTAAGACCAATATGGTTAACCTTCCAAACAGGATATGTCAAATCGCGACGAAAATCATGATGGATTTCAGCATTATGCCAACCGCTCTTCTTTCCATGTATATTTGCCAGAATCTCTAGCGGTTGTGTCTCTGGCACGATTTCGTTTTCGTCATGCACGCATATCACATGCCTTTCATCTTCTAGAATTATACTGTGTAATATGATACACGTGTACATGAACGCTGCAAGTTTGTCCTCCACATAAAACAGTGTTGGGTGTTTCAGTAATGTCAACGTGTTTTAAGGGCTCTAAAAGTTTGTTCCACATCCTTCCTCGCACTTTCTTGGGGTCTCTTATATTTCACTATTCTATTGTCATTTGGACATGACAATGCTTTAACAAACACATAACACTCAGGATATACATCATCCATAAGATAATACTCATATATTTATAATGTTACGCGCAACTCGAACAAAGAATCCGGTGTAATTCTGTTGTATATCTCATTAAATATCATTGACATGTTAAGAACGTTGATGTCATTTAGCAAGCGCACCAAAGAAGGAACGACATATCCATAAATCATGTGAGACCATCGTTTCAAGTATGACCGACGGGTAGTAGTAATTCATTTTCGTGTATTGATGTGGTGTGCATTGGGACAATTTCCCCATTCTTAGTGGATGCCATCCAAGCTTCCTAATAAGTCACGAAAGCCATGTACATTTTCATGATGAGTTAATCAATATATATATATATATAATTATAAGTTGGTTTACGTAAATATCATGGACAGTACAACCCAATGGCATTTATGCAAAATTGATGAAGACTTTCTCGCACTACACACAATGTGTAACGCCCTGTTTCTGATCGCTTCCATTTCAGAGTGGTGATCAAGGATTTGATATTAGCAGGCTTAGGATCCTTGACGAATTGAGTTTTGGGCTCATTTGGAGGTGGATGATGTAAACTGGATGATCTGGGTATTCGGTTTGTGTTTTGGAGTCAAAGGGTATTTCGGTAATTTGTTAGCTCGGGTTTCTATGGGAAATGGATGTTTGTACCAGATATGGTAAGGCAAGTATGGGTTGACTAAATCGTAGAGCTTATCATTACATTTTCATGGATATAAGGATCGTCAGAATCGGGTTTATAACGAAGAAGTTATGGCCTTTGGAGTGATTAAGGGTTTAAGAGGAAACCCGAGTACGCGGGGGTACCTAGGGAGTACGCGCAACGTACTGATGCGAGGGTGTTACGTTGGGCGTAATGTTGTGTATGCTTAGCGTACTGCGAGGGTCATATCGGGATTGCGGGACCTCGTACGCTGGGCGTACGAGGGTTAAAGGAAAACCCTAATTTTCGAATGTGAACCCTATATAATCTCATTAAGTCTTTTTGGTTGGATCCTTTACCAGCCTCCAAGTCCCCAAAAACCTATAAATCATCTCTAAGCCTCCATGGTTGTGACTTTGAGCTCATAGTGTGCATTTTGGTGTTTTTGGGTCATTTCCAAGAAAATGGAGTTTATTGCAAGGTTCTGGATCAAGTAATAGCTTGTAGATCTGGATTAGGTGCTTCATTTCCAGCTTGTTTAAGGTAAAAAGCTTTGACCTTGTTCATTGTTAGCTTAGATATTTGTGGTATGAGTTTTTGGTCCATTTTGATCCCAAGAATGAGATCTAGTGGTTTGGTACCACTCCGGGAGCTATGAGTTTCCACTCTTGGTGTTTCTGAGGTTCTAGATGCATAAAGTTGCATCCTTTAGGGTTTGGAATCCTCCATGTATGAGATGGTGTCCATTTGGTGACAGTTTTTTGCTTTAAGTTGATGTTGGGTTCTTTTGAGGCATGCAAAGTCATCAAGTCAATGACTTTATGGGTCTAGACGTTCTTTAAGAAGTAGATCTATGGTTTGGACTCCTGATCTTGAGCATTAAGTGCTTAATGGAATTTATGGCTTAATGGAGGAGTACGCTGGGCGTACAAGTCTGTACGCGCAGCGTACAAGCCAAATTACATGTACGCTTAGCGTACAACTGAGTACGCCCGCGTACTCAGTCACGAGGATTGTGGCTTTTGGGCTTCGTGTTGGGCTTCCTTTTTGGGATTGGGTGTTTGAGTTCTCAATGGGCCATCTGAGTACAAGTGTTTTGGACTAGGAAGATTGGTTGGGCTTTAGGGTAAGGCCCATGTAAGGAGTTTGGGCCCAATTTGGAAAATTAGGCCATAATTGGGCCTTGGTTGATTACTTGGCTTTTGGGCCTTAAGAGTGTGAGTTTGGGCCTTAGTCTTGGACCAAGCTAGGTTAGGGGTAAAATGGTCTTTTTACCCCAAGTATGGATTTATGGACTATGGATTGGAACCCAATTGTTAATTGGGTGTTGTTTTGATGTTGATAGTTTGGGGATCTGTCAGCTAGTAGTCAGGGATCGTCTGTGTGTTGCGGCAGTGCGAGGTGAGTCTCCTCACTGGGTTTAGTGGGTCGAAGGCACCAATATCGGCCCATGGTTTATATGTTAGGATGATAGATGTATATTCGACTCTTGCACGTGTTATATGATGGTATGCTTACCAGGAAAGGCTTGATGCCAGACGGGCCTGAGGAGTATAGTATATGTTGGTTATTAATATCTGTGTTATGCTTACCAGGCGAGGCCCGATGCCGAGCGGGGCTCAATGATCGTATGGTATGATGTAGTCTTTGCGATTATTGCATGTGGTAGTAATGTAATATGTTTGTATGATTATAGGTTTATATGATTATGTGTGTATCGGTCGGGGCCCAATGTCAGGCGAGGCATGGTAATTGACAGATCTGTAATCCGAGCAGGGCTTGATGTTGGGCGGGGGCCGAGGCTAAGTGGGACTCGAGATCGGGCGAGGCCCGAAGGAGGATGGGGGCCCGGTATGTGATTTATGTATGTGTGGTATGTAGTATCTTGGGGAACCCACTAACCTTTGTGCTTATGGTTTTCAGTTTATGTTTCAGGTACTTCGGTTTTCAAATGGAAAAGCTCAGGATGGTTGCAGGGCACACACCACATGTTTCCGCATTCTGTAAATACTCTGATCTGATGATGTTTTGCTAAGTCTTGTGTACCTTGATTTTATAGAAAGGATATGTATTAACGATTTATTAATCTAAAAATGAAAATTTTTATGTTATTATTTATGGGACGTTACACAATGACATCATGAGATTCTCATCCAATCCGTCAGATGGGGTGACATAATCTAACATAAAAAGTGCATCTATATATTTTCATAAAGGAGTAAAACTGAGGGTATCTCTAGCATCTAGTTGTTGTTCAAAAAAATGAACACTCTATTGTTACGTCTTCGACAATCGCATAAACAAAGGTTTGTGCATTTGGAACCGATGATAGAAATAGTGTGACATCCCCCATTCTTCAGAACCAATTAAAATACTTTCTTTACATTTTTAATAAATTGAGATGCAGAAATTCCTAGTTATATAAACATATTTGAAATAAAAAAAAGTTATTTCATTTTATTAAAACTTAGAGGATGTCATCGTTCGTATCCAAACATACATTACAACATAAATAGAAAAGGTCCTAAAACTACTTATTACAGGCACATCTCTTCATTCTACTCAACATCTTAACTAGACTACAGCAACCTTGGTTCCACTACCTGTGATGCATAAAAATAAGTGGGTCAGGTTTGGGAAAACCTTGTGAGATGCATAGGGTTTTCAAGCCCATAATATATTAATGATAATACATAATAACATTCCTTCAAACAAAAAATATAGGTATAATCTAATATAAGACTACCTACCCTACCCTACCCAATCGATTCTCACAAATCCTAAGGCAACGATTATCTGGAGGAATCACCCAACTTGATAAATCGTTTGAGCAACTGCTTGACTACACAGCTAGGGGAGTCCTTGGTCAGTGTAAGTCATATAAAGGCAACCAATATTCAGAGTAATTGATAGATATGGTATCCCATTCTACCTACATCTGTGGGTTATAAGCCCACACTACCAACGTAATTTACTAGACCGCCTAGAATAGTCAAGTGTTTTCATTTACTCTGGTCGATGACACATACATACTTGCCAGTTGTCTGATATGGACCCACTATTTCTGGTCATCCAATAAGAGGAGGACTACTACACTCCGCTCGGATCTCACACTCTATCATAAAATGAGACCTAACCAATATCCTGCCTATTTAGAACTATGTACCTTTTATAACTCCACAACTAATCCAGACTATATCTAAAGGCAATTCTAGTTCCTAATAAGCAATATTACTATAGTTATTTAAGTAGCATAGAGTATAATTAATACAATTAGCATTTAATAAATATTTTTATTAAATTATGCTCTTGAAAGCAACTACATACTCACATGACACAAGTAGGTGATTCAAGGTTAGGGCAGCGCTTCGCCTTAACACTTTTCTTTTCGAAAGACCTGGATTTAAATGGTACTAAGTCTTAGGTTATTTTCATATTTCTTGTGATTATAATTCTAGATTTCTCAATAATCTCAATATATACTGATAATTCTATCAAATAAGGATTAGTCAGGCAGGAAAGTTGGGAGACATGACCATTTCGACATATAGCATTTCTGAAATTCAACAACCAAGACAACATGACCATTTTAGACACCTCTCTCATA